ACGCATTCCTAATTCTTACGTTGCACCCACCGGTTCTGGAACGGTCACATCATAAACCAGGGGACATAATTTAGAGGGGTGCGCAACAGTTTTTTTTCTCCTGCAGGATCAKAATTTCATTATTCCATGTGTGTCCAAAATTGGAAAATGTCACCCCAGGATTTTTTGACAACTTCATTTTTACTGCATAATTCTAGTAAAATTATCCAACCATTAAGCAGTTCCAACATTATCAAAAATACTACCATTGGAATTTTTGAGTACACTATCTAGCCCAGTTTTTCATGAGGATTCTGAATATGCCAATATGTTATGTATCAAATGAAATGATAGTGTACCTTTTCACTGTTGAATATTGACTAGATTATTAGTATAAATTACTACTGGGGAATTAGTGGGAGAAACCGATGAAGGACAGACAGTCCGAATTTTTGCTAAGGACTAGACTGGTGGGACTGACTGGACAAATGACAGACTATTTCTACTGCAAATACAATACTAGTAGTCTGTTACTGGGTGATTCCTGAAATGCTAGATCTCTAAATTTTTCGTCTGTCAGTCCATCAGAATTTAGAGTTTTTGTCTCTAAATCTAGCACATTTAGGATGGGTCAAACTGACCRATCCTAAATACTCTAGATTTAGGGTGGAATTCACAAATAAAAATTTCCAGTCCATTGAAAGACTCAACAGAAAGGCCCGTCAAAATTAAGACTTCCATTGTTCTAAACAAGAAAAATAACAAGAACCAGGGAGGCGCCTCTATAGACCATGGCGCYTCCTCCTCTTAAACAAAAATGGCACAGACGCACTAATGTCCTGACAATCAGTCTTTATAGTCACTACATTCAATTACCTCTCTTTCTGGTTGCATCAACAAAGAGAGCAGGAGGAGGAGTCTGCTCCAATCCCTTGAGCCATTTTTAGTACTACACTTAAGATGGAGGAACCAAATGCCAATCCAGGCCCTGTCCCCAATGTCCCCAATGGGAACCATGGGCGTCAAACYGGTACTGTCAACTACTCTGAAGAAGAGATTGAGGAGCTTATGGAGGTGATTGTGGAGGTACTCCCCATCGACTCAGAACAGTGGAATACTGTTGTCACTAAGCATGTTGCAAAGTGGCCCTTTGACAGGAGCAAGAAATCTATTAGGAACAAGTATGGTTCCATCAAAAGAAGAAGAAGCTCAACTGGTAACCCCAACATGCCAAGGTACATGAAGCTCGCACAGAAGGCCCATTACTTGATTGGAAAAAAGGCAAATATTGGTACTGGAGAGGAGGACTTCGAGGTGAAGAAAGGCTTCATTGTTAGTGAATCTGAGGATGGTTTGGAGAGGATCCCCTCTGCTGAAGGTTCCCAGGGAAGAAGGCCTGTTATCCATGATGCAGGTGATGAAGATTTGGACAACTCTTTGATCAAACCAACCAAAGTACAGTCGTCCACTCCAAATAAGAGATCATATTCAAAAGTTCCAGATGCAACTGTGTTCAATGAGTATTTGATGAGCCAGCAACAAAGGGACAAAAAAATCGTGAGTTAGCTTTAGAGCAGTCTAAGATTGCAAAGGAGCACTCCCTGATTGCAAAGGAGGCAAGCCAAATTGCTAAGGAGACCAATCTGATGTGGAAGAACGCTCTTGCAATGGCAATGAATTGCTTCCAGCAATGGCAACAAAGTGCAAACGGAAACACTCACCAGTTGGTCAACAGCACCAAGTGCCCCCATAAAGAAGATGGAGGCGAATCCCATGGTGAGAAGGAATAAACTAATCTGATACTAATTACTAATTCAAATACTTCCCTCCTTTAATACTAATTCAAATGAACTAAATGAGCAGTATGAGCAAGGCCCCTTTATACAGTATATTGTGCGGTCGCAGTAGGCTGCAGTAGGAATGTTACTTATTCCTTCAGTATAGGTTTTTGTGTATACCAATGTGGGATTAGAAAGCAGTTCCTGCTAGTTCAGCATGTGGGGATTCCCACAAAAAACAGTTTGGATCGGCTTGCACATGACATGTATCATAAAGTTGTCTTCAGTGCAGTATAACAATGAAGCTGTATTCATTACAGTATAATTTGATATCTATTACAGCATTGGAGTGTATTAAGCAACGCGACGGCAGGCCTCGGAAGGATACACAAAAACCGCAAAGGAACACAAAGCTGTAATACAGCAGCGTGTTATTAGCAGCACTACGCTATTCCCCCCCCCACAGATCATTTACTGCTGCAAAGAACTAAACAATGATTAAGGAAACTAACGATGGCCGCCAGCCCAACATGAGGAGGGCGAGTAACTGTAAGTGCATGGTCATGTTGCTTGGTGTCCGTGTATTCACGACTTGCTTTGCATTCGGAGATTCATTGCGTGTACTCACATTTGCATTTCCKAATTCATTTGAGCTAATCTTTCTTATTGCACTAATCTTTCTTAATCCACAAGCAACCAAACGACCATGGGATTTGACCTCAAAACAAGCCATTTGCGTCAGGCAAGACCTCAAGCCCTACATGGAAGAAGCCTCTCTCAAGATTGATTTGCTTGTAGGGTTGATCCATATCAGCTTCCAACACTGCTGGTGTCTTTATGAAGGTCAATAGGATCTGGTTGTGCCCTACTGTACTACACTGGTAGTTGTAGAGGTTGATCAACAAGTTCATGATAATCTTCCTGTCTCCATGCTCTTCCAAGAACATCCTGTCTTTGATTTGGGGAAACTGTCCCTGGATCATCCTCATCCCCCACTTGGACATCTGCCTCAAGGATGTTGCATCCCTATTGATAAGGAGAAGTTCTTGCTGTTCCGGGTCCTGCTGTGAGCTCTTGATGAGGATGYTCTCCCTTTCCTTCAAGGCAAAGGCTGAATCTACAACAATCTTTGCCCCATCACACCTGTGATGGACCTCCTCAATCCTATCATAGACGCCATGGTCGGCAATGGCGCTGTCATGCCAGGTGCCTGGACAGTTGAAGACTGCAATCCTGATTCTACCATCTGGTACAAAGACAAACACACTGTTGACAAAAGTGTTTTCTTTCCAGGCATTGCAGAAGGCTCTCTGTTTGAACCAGTCCTCAGATGCTTCAATGGTGCTCCCATCAGCAGCACCCCATACGTGTTTTTCTCCAAGCCTTGGATGCTTCCCTCCAATAGCCTTAACATAACTATCCACTTCTTCCTTTGTTGGGACACTCACCATGGACTCTGGACGCTTGTGAAGAGCAACAAGCATCACTCTCCTTGAAAACTTGAGCCACCTATACATCACAGTGGATGTTAAGCCAAACGTCATTGCCATTGACCTTGCTACAGATCCCACATACTGCATCCACCTCTCTCTTCCTTCCCTTAGGCTTGCCACTGGGGTAAAAGGCAACTTCTACTATGTTGTTGTCGGCATTGACTGTGTACTTGTTGTAAACCAGAGCAAAGACATCAACTAGCCCCCTGTAGACTTTGTGGTCAATACCACAGCAGTTGAGTAGCGCTTGGTTGTCCCCTGAGTGGAAGAGATGGAGGAAGGGGGAATGGGAATATCTCCTGATTGCAATCCTTGGCGTTCTCCTGTCCCTACGACGTCTCTCCTCAGGAGAGAGCTTCTTCTTGTTACTTTGGTTATTCAGGTGAATGTACCAGTACATCGTGATCACTTCCACTACTCCCATTGTCAATGTTCAATGTTACCTTCCTTCTTGCTGGGAGGAAACTGTTGTCTTTTAGTGTGTTTGTCGCCTGGTTACTAGCATAGACTAATACATGAACTCATTTTCTGTTATCGAAAATAATAAGCAGAAAATGTGTTTGTGTATTAGTCTAGTTACTATTGTAAAAAATGAACTCATTTTCTCCTGATATCAAAAATAAGCAGAAAATGTGTTCATCTTTTACTCTAGTAGTTGAATATCGAAATTTTCATGTTTTCCTTTGTACCAAAATGTGGCGCGCGTTCTGAGTCTTTTTAGTCTTTACATTGAAAAATAGTTAAGATTCCAAATTCCGTAAAAGACTGGCATTGAGCTGGCATCCTCTCAGTCTGTCCGTTGAATGTCATGATTCCCGATATTCTAGACCCCTAGATTTCAACATTTAGAGATTTAGCATTTCGGGAATCACCCACCACTACCACCAGCCCTGTGTCAGCACCTTAAAGTTTGAACTGCAGACAACAATAACACCCAACAAACACTTACTAGTTGACTCTCAACTATATGAGAGATGTGCATGTGAAGTTTGAAAATCAGAGAGAGATTGGAAGTGTTCCTGTGCATGGGGTCTTTCAGGTACACTTTTTGCAGTGATATGCAGTAAAAATGAAGTTTTCAAAAAATCCTGGGKTGACATTTTCCAGTTTCGGACACACAAGGAATATGAGTTTCGACGCGATGCGCACCCCTCTAAATTATGACCCCTGTCATAGAAAAGGGTCATAATAGTCTTTACAGTAAGTATTTTTAGCTCATATAGCTCCTTTACTATGTATTACGTCACATTTTTTGGAAAAAAGTCATTCTCTAAGGTCATTATTTTATCGTTTTCATCAACAACGAGAACAACACGTAAGAAAAAAAGCGACGTCGATTGCGATTTCTTCGGCGAAAAGATACTTTTACTTTTTGTATCCATAAGAGTTGAGTTGGTTTACGTCTACTTTTTCAACATTTTCCCTCCCAAAATCCAAAATAAATCTTTTGTCATCGTTATCTAGTCATCTACGGTACGTACTTTGCAGTATTGGAACCATCTTGTGAGGTAATAACACGTAGTAAATCGAACACTTTTACATGCCTTTCGAGGCAGAACAACAGTGCACGGCATGTGCCTACACACGATTTGGTATAGCCTCGTACCACTGAGTAAGGGATGAAAAAAAGAAATTTGCAGCAAAATAATGCGTAAAGGCAGTTTGGATAAGATACTGCACAAAATTTTGGAATCTTTGCTTAGTACGCTAAAACACCTTGTCGCATATTTTCTGACAAGGTTAATTCAACAAACCAGATCACAAAATTCACTGATTCCAATCTAAATTAGTCAAAAGAGATACCAAACATCTTTACAATGTGCAAAGTTGTCGATACGAAAGGTAAGAACGACGAGCCTAAACAGCCAGAATGGCCAAAAAACGTGATGGTTTTCAAGCCTACTGATAAGGTTGACGATATCAAGAAAAGAATCAAGCCAACCGAGGACCCCTCCAAGACCTTCGAATTGAACGGAGAAACGAAGTTGACGTACGTTTCCGACCACCACTTCAGTACCAAGCGCTATGCTCTCCTCTTTGCTCCTGGTGAATACAAAGATTGCCAGTTCGAAGTTGGATACTACGTTCAAATGGCAGGACTTGGTAAAACAGCCAAGGGAGAAGGTGCCGTTGTTTTCACAGGCGAAAAGAGTGGCCCATTTGTTCCAGCGCTCAACAAGGACATGCCCGTGACCGAAGGCGGTAGCATCGACTACCCAGGATCTGGTCTTTGTCTCGATACGTTCTGGAGATCGGCTGAGAACTTTAGCGCCGAAAATGTTCAATGGGCCGTTAGTCAAGCTGCACCACTGCGAAGAACACACGTTCTGAACAAAGTTGAATTTGGAGATGGGGGAGCTTACTCCAGTGGGGGATTTTTTGCCAATGCCGATGTTGAAGGAGAGTGTACCTACGTTGCCAATCAACAATGGTTCACTCGGGGTGTTGAACTCGGTGGAAACGTCGCTGGTGGTGCTTGGTCTACTGTCTTTGCAGGCTGCACAGGGAACGTCCCCGAAGCAAGTACTTCACCTCTACCGAAAGATAAGCCTTTAGTGACGGTCGAAAGTACTCCAAAGGTCAGAGTGGAAAAACCCATGATTGTATTGAATGAAAACGGCGACTACGAGCTCCATGTGCCTCGTGCTACCGCAGATCCGACGCTTACTGTTGGTGCGCATTTGGACGGCAGCAACACCGAAGTCCGTTGCTTCTCGAACGTGAAGGTTGGAAAACCAATACTTCACTTCGATGAGGATGGGAACTATGCTGAAATTCCCGACGATGAGTACAATGTACTCACCGATGCGGACAAAAAGCTTACACTAGAGCTTCAAGAGGCTCTCGACGAAGGCAAGGATCTTGTTCTATGCCCTGGAATCTACTTTCTTACACAGCCATTGGTCGTCAAGAATCCAGGCCAAGTTGTCCTTGGTCTTGGTCTTGCATCACTCATCGCGCCCCAAGACGGATCGCCCTGTATTCGTGTACAGGCAAATACGCCTGGCGTACGAATTGCGTCGTTGGTGTTGGAGGCATCAAAGCAAGATGATTCAAGTGTAGGATCGGAGTATATGAACTCGGACAAGGTGATGTCTCTAATTGACTTTGGAGAGCCCGATAAAACTGGAACAAGTGATCCTGGGGATCCGACCAATCCTGGGCTACTCTCAGACATCTTTACTCGAGTCGGGGGATCGAATTTGGATCGTTCCGTGAAAACAGATGTGATGGTGCGAATCTTCTCTGGCAATGTCGTTGGCGATAATCTTTGGTTGTGGAGAGCTGATCACGTAAGACTTCGTCCTGGCGAAGAGCCAAACGATCCATCCATCAACCCGCGTTATCATCAAGTTAGGATTTTTGAAGGAGGTAAACGTGTCGACGAATGTATGGTGAAGAACGCCCTTCAGGTTTCTGGAGATAACGTTACTATTTATGGTCTTTTCGCAGAACACACCGTCGAAGATCAGGTGGTCTGGAAGGGCGAACATGGCCATGTGTGCTTTTTCCAATGCGAATTACCCTACGATGTTGACACTGATTTCAATCATACTGGTTATCACGTACATCAAGATGTAGGTGTCCATACCGCCAAGGGTCTGGGTGTATATTCGAATTTTACGCAATTTTCTGTAGTTGCAGCCAAGGGCTTGTCGTTCCCCTCATTGGATTTGATCTCGATTGAAAATCCATTTACTGTTTTTCTGAACGGAAAAGGCGGAATTAAAAATGTTCTTCACGAAGGTGAAGAGAAGATTGGCGATGAAGTGAGCAAGCTCAACAAGTTAGCTCGTGGATGGATTGGGACGGAGCAGCTTTGAAAACTCTGACACAGTCGCCAGAGGTGGATATCGCGTGGGTATGAATCCGGGAATCTTTGTGCCTTTGCAGAAGACGATGCACGATACAAAAACAAGGAACTTGTCAACGTAATGTCAAAGAAAAAGTCGATGGCATTAAATATTTGAAAAATGACGTTACCGAGATGAATCAAGAGATACCGAGCAAGCATACCAACATGGAATTAAGATTCATATGAAGTAGTAAAGTAATTAGCCGTCTAAACATGTAAGGACTAGACACCTATAATGTTCCTCATGAAGGGTAGAATAATTTAAATACTGTAGTTATTCAACAACAAAAAAGTACAATGATATTGGCCACCTTGACATGTTGGCGTGAATGGGATCTTCTGGTATATCTTACTTCTCTGAAATAAATTTAGAATATACGGGGTCCACTACAATTGTGATAAATACTGTGTCAATGAATACATTACTCGAAGTGCATTTTTGAATTCGATAATCGAAAGTTCTACATAACCAACAATGTGTCAGTTCCATACTTTGGTTTCAAATGCTCATCTTCAACTAGAATTGACGGAGGGATTCCAGGCTTCATCGAATAAAATCTTTCGCTCTTAAGGCTGCTATTAGAAGAGGCTTCTTCGCTGCCGGTTGAGGAGACTCAAACAACATATCGTCGTCTATTGACAATTCGTCATTCAGCAAATGTGGCTTGGTGGGTTGATGCAAACTTGCGAGATGATCAGGTACGTTGTTCGATCATTCTCTGTATGCTTCACTGAATTCATTATCAATCATAGCCGCAAGATGAGAGAGAGACTTCTCTGAACTTCCTTGACGTTGCAAATCGGCGTCAGGTGGTGCACCAATCAATATTTTCTGAAATTTTTCTTCGCTGGAAGGATGACCAACAGCAACGGGTCGATGGATATAATTTCTTGAGGTTGCAAAAAGGCAGGTTGGTTTGCTATCACAAAATTATCTGGTTCTGCGGTCGTATGATAGCCATCAGCTGATTGGCTGGGCAAGTCCTGGTCACCTGGAACATTAGTACGCTGTAGTTGCTGCGCTTTTGCCTGTAGTGCAGCTTTGCGCAGGGGCCTCTCCGACGAAGAATTCCTTGGACTTGGTTCGAATAAGTCATCACCATCGATAGAATAAATATCAGACAGCTGGGAGAACCTAGGTTAACTAAGGCCAAGAAGATGCTCAGGAACGGGATTGACTGCTGTATCATTACGAGATTCATCGTCATTTTAGCTGATGGAGATGTCAGTGTGTACATACGCAAGTTCGGAAAGTGACTTCGCTTTTAAGGCTGATTCGAGAAAAGGTTTCTTGGGTCGAGGTCGTGACGAAACTCGATCGAACAGGTCATCGTCACTCAAAGATTCGTTATCAGAGTTCAACTCAGATAAAAATCCAGCCTTCGTAAAGACGTTTTCAAGCGACGTCTTCGAATCGAGATACAAACCTTCATCATTGTCGTCTAGGGGGTCCCTATCATCATCATACAATTTTGAGTTTGAGTTTGACTTGGCCTTCAATGCAGCTACCAAAAATGGAGCTTTGGGAGGATTTCCTTTTGGAGGTATGTCAAAAACTTCTTTG